GAGAGAGAGAGAGAGAGGGCGAGACAGGAATGAAGAGATGAGAGGGGCTAATTCCGTACAAACGCCGTACTGCAGAGTCCGGTAAACCAATTTCCCCCCCGATCTCAGAGGATATTTTTCTGGATGTCGGTTAGTGGTGGTAGTAGTAGTGGCGGTAGTTGATGGCGGCGCGTTCCCTGGTGAATGCCCTCCTCCCCCAGGCTTTGGCTGGGTCCTCCGGACGAAGCCCTCCTTTCAATCCCCTCTCCATACTCTGTTCCACACCCCTTCCACTGCTCAGTGGGAGTACTGGCAGCGCGAAATGAGTGGGAAGAGGGACGAGTATGGAACTGCACGAGAGAGAGTGAATGACTGGGAGAACGCGGGGAGATCGATATTCGAAAGCGCCCCCCTCATCCGTCCCCGGCATTCCCCCGAACCCCGTCCGGCGGCCCTGTCTGACGCTGGCACCCCTCGGTCTACCCTCGCAGTGGCGTAGAAAGGAGGCGCGGCCGTCGGCCGGGATGAAATGGGCGCGCCGGTCTTCCCAGGACACTCGGGAGCACAAAGAGGACGAGTGCCCTCGTAAATTATCCGCTGCGCCGTCCTCTCGTGGAATTTATGCGACCTCCTCTGGAAGAGGTGTCTAGACTCCTCTGGCGATTAAGACGCGGGGTGGGCGCGACCATACCGATCGATCGCTGGCGATCGGCGAGTTTCACGAACAGTTTTATTCTGACGATTCAACGATATCTACACTTTGATATCGATGTCATGATAGTGACTCGTAGTTGAATATTATTTTCTAGAGACTATAAATAGAAACCAATTTTATTACAAGATATATTACGAAGGTTCTTTGCGGACGTTATCCTAAATTTCAAATGATTAATTATACTTAACATGATACACGCGAAAAAGTAACCGGTAAATATTAGCTAAATTCACCACTAAGTTTTTTTACATAGATTCAAAATGTAAAATATGTGATATTATAATAAATTGGAACATTACGAATTATATTACATCGTTATTATAATAATATATGAGAACAATGACAAAAATGTAATTTAATATAATACATCGTTTGTCATGCTTTCGTAATTAAACTAGAATTCTTGTTGATACTAAAATCGAATATTTTTTTCTGTTACATAATATCTTGTGAAGTTTTCTAACGAAAACAACTGTCCACGTTTTGCGTATATTGATAAGTACTATTCAATCTCCTACGCCACTGACGCACTTCGACTGACCCTTATATGCATACGTGCTATTTACCATTAGATTACACCCCTTGTCTCCCTTGTCCCTTTTTGCTTCTCCCCGATGACTCTTTCTCTCTTATTCTCTTTGTTCGACAACGGCGACTCTCTTGCTCCACACCATTCGCCTATCTCTTGTATCTTGTAATATTGAAATGTGGCGCAAACGAAACCAATTATATATATATCATTGCGTTCGATACTTATCGATCTTTATCTTCATCCATGACGAGACTCTCATTAAGAAATCGTTCGTCACGAAGAACAAACGCAAACAGACCCACGCAAGTGTGTAATAAAAAAAGACGATCGATAAACCTCATATATTCGCTCTATCGTTCATGGTCGCTGATCGCAGATGAGATCGTCGTCATGAGATAAACGCATTCGTCGTTTGCTTCGTGGACTTTTTAAACTCGCTCGTTCATACTAACTGCCTATTTCACCATGCGATATTAACCAAATAATGTAAAGATTCTAATATAAATACAACGAAATAGTTCTATTTTATTAGAGACATACCGTAAAATGAAACTGAATAAATTCTACTTTAATTTGTTTGTATATAAATTTTGTAAAGTGATACATGTCGTATCTCCATGACGAATTCTACTTCGCGTAAATTTCGTTCTTTCAGAGGCATAATTTTTTCAGTAGCGTTTTATACATAATTAGCAAAATGACAAATATTCGCAATATTTTAAAAGTGAAAAATGATTTCTCTTGAAAATTATAACTATTTTACATCTTCATGAGTAATAAAATTTTCATGGGAGAAAGAAGGAGGGAAGTACAATTTTATTTTAGAAACAAAATATGGGCTTCGCGGTGAAATTTGGCCGCATTTGCGTTATCCCGAAAAGCCGAAGGTACTCCCAGCAAGCTTTTCCACCCTCTGTCCAGCGCTTGCGCCATCCAGTTCTTCATCAACCCCTCCATTGCATGAACCCTATTTGGCGCGTGCGTATATATGACGATTACTACTCTCGTCGTCAACCCCGTCCGTCTCTCTGTGTCACTCTCTCCCCTTTCTCTTTGGGCCTTCCCCTTTCCCCTCGATAATCGAAGCGATGTACCGTTGTTCAAAAGTTCGTATGCACTCACGATATTAATCATATCCGTTTCCCGCGAAGATCAGCCGTCATAACGCAGCTCGATCGATCGGTTCGTGTGATGGATGCTACAGTTAATAGCTTCCGTTCTAAAATTACACGCACTCTCTCGTACTCTTCTAATTCCCACGCAATTCTCATCTTTTTCTTTTCTTTCAGCCCCTTTTTTATTTCGATACTAGCTTAGAAGTTGACACTCATTGTTTTAGCAACTCCTCAATCGGAATTCTTTCTTCCTTATCTTTTACATTTTTGTTCTTCTCTTCTCATACTTCTCGTCTACCTTCGCAAATTGGCATCTGCATAAATTTTATCGTCCCTTCTTGATTTATCATATTTTTTCCATATTTTTCTCAAAGATTTTCTCATATTTTTCGCTTATATGGTAGCTCTACTCTTTACATCTTTCATCCTTCTTCATAACAGAAATGTCGGCGATGGTGAAATATCGTCCGGCTACGCGACCGGCCGAGTCCACCATATCGGCTCATATCGGTCCATACTTTTCCATGTAATTATCGATCGATCTATAAATAAACCGCGATCATGTTGTTCGAATTATTTATATTTCTAGATTATTCATACACTTCCTTAAAAGTTTAGAAGATAACCGCGCACGTCCCCTTCCTCTCCCTCTAGTGTATTAATTACATAAGATATCAATTTGCACAGCTTAGAGATCGAATCGTGCCCTGCATATCCAAATTAAGACTCTCGATTCTGGGAAATGTCACGAGGTCCATCGATTCGTAAGGCCATCCGATTGTGGTCATTTCTCGACGAGACGTTGAAACGAGCCGCCAGTCGATGAAACGATTATCCTTGTAACTGCATGTACTCGTGCAATGACCGACGCGAGGGTGGTAGATTCCCGTATAATTCCCGGGACAATCATTTTAATCAATAGGACTCCCCACCCGCTCCCCTCTTCCTCTCCATCCGCTCAGGTATCATTTATCACGGGAATAATGACGTCTCGCGCGCATAATGACTGAAAAAAATCTCTCCATAGCTGCGTCGCGACGCGCGCTCAATGTTTGGAAATATGTGCATCGGGGCGCGCAACGCACACAGGACCAACCAACCAATCAACGAATCAACCTCCGGCGGTCGGTATGCGGAGGGTGCAGATCGCTGATCACGCTTGCGCAAATTTCCACCCCTTTCCCGGCACCGTCGACTCTCACCGTTACCACCCTCCCTCCCCGGACCTCTTCCGCCTTCGCATCCCTTCCGACCTCTTCTCCCGCGTTGCTCCCGGTCTCTCCTTCACCTTTCACCGACAACGATGGCGTCTGCGTGTATCGGCGCCAATCTCCCTCGGCAGAGGGTTTTTCGCGATTCTTTTCGTTCTGAGTCTATCCCACCCCCGAGACGAGTCGAGACGGTGGGGACGGCGGTAGCGGGCGTCCGGAGGGTGCAACCGTCGGTGTAGGGGCTCAGCTTCGTCAGTTTAGTTACCGCACCACATAAAGGCATTGCGTTGTAGACACCGTTATACCCGCAACATTCTTACTATTTGCTTGCATATTTCCTAATTTCTGACCCTTTAATTCGGCTATAAAAAAGAAAGAGAAAAAAGTTTCGGTTCGGTATCGTTCGTCGTCGTCAAAAAAAAAAAAAGGAACAGTTATCGTTGCTATCATTATCGTCGTCGTCGTCTTTGTCGTCGTCGTCGTTATCCTTTAACGTTCAGTTTGTTGCTGTTGCTTTGTCCCAACGTCCACGTGTCGATCGACCGAGCAGTGTCGTTCGCCATTCGGGTGACACTGTCACGAGAAAACTCGCGCGGAGAAAAAGTAGAAAAGCGAAAAGTGAATCTCGCAAACGTCGCACGGGAAGATAAGCTGGATAGAATCGGTCGAAGACAAAGCAGAGAAACGACTCTTCCGCGTTCTTTCAATTTTATGTTTTTGTTCGAGTCCCGATCCTACGTTTTTCCTCACCTCGTACACCCGACTCGTCCTGTCGTAAGGAGTCCCCGCGCGCGCGCGCGCGCGTGCACGCGATCATTTATTCTTCTCGATCAACGATCCCTCTGATCAATTTCACGCGCGTCACGATAACTCAAAGGTGGGAATCGGCACGCACGAATCGGTGCGTGA